GGGGGGGGGGGGGGACCACAGTTCCTTGATATAAGGAGTCTATATTTTTATATATATAAATATATAAAAATATATTGATATATTTGTAAAAATATTTAAATAAATAAATTAGATTAAAATAAATTAAAAATCAATTAAAATAAACAAACCTCAAGCAGTACAGTGCTATAGTGTGTAGAAAAATAATTATAGTAACAATGTAAATATTTTCCAAAACATATTTTCCAAATATTTATAATACTTTTTCACAGTATACACTGGGTCTTTATATATAACAATATATTGCTGCATTTTGAATTTTAGGACGGGGTCACTTGCACAAGGATGATGATATTTGGGGGCCCGTGAAATGATTTAAAGATTTAAGTTTAATTTTTAAAATTGAATTATTTAAGTTCACATTACAGCAATTTATCTAATAAGACTTGTATATTGTGCTTATTTCATATTTTGTTTTGTTTTGTTTTGGTTTGGTTTGGTTTGATCGTGTCCTGTTTGCCATTTGCAATGAACCAGCCGATAACTATCTAGACACTAAGGGCAAAAAGAAACCCCGAAAAACAACCCAAGCTGGAGGGGCAGGCGTTGACCTGGCAAAGATCGCTGCAGAACAGCAGATCAAGCTACAGAAGGAAAGAGATGAGAGAATTGCGGCTGTCAAAACAGCCAGTGCTGAGGAAGAGGCTGCAGGTGCGGTGGACAGCGGCGGTTCTGCATCTTCTCCTGGAGATTGTTCTAGAGCAGAAAAAGAGGTCAGGAGAGACGCCTCTGGAGACACTGGGCCGGCGAGGAGTGTAACAGACACTAGAGGAAAAGACACAGGGAAAGGTAGGAGAACCACACAAGTTCATTAAATAAGGAAAATATTATCTTCTGCCACATAAAGACACCACAGTCGCATTGATATTTCTAATCATGCAGTGACATCCATACATGTTCAAGTGTGACATAAGAGTCCAAAGCCAGAAGTAATATCTATACGTGCATACAAATGATCATTTTTTAATGACTGTCAGGATTTTCAGGTGAGAAAATGTCAAAAAGTTGAGGTGTGACTGCAGGTTCAGATGAAGCCCTGCTGTCTGGAGACTCAACCGATTTGATGGTGTACTTAACACTACATGAGAAATAATAACTGCTCAAATACAACAGCCATTAATTTCCTCATCAGTACACTGACTCCAATTAATATGAGTTAAGTGTAGTGCTACCATTATTTCAGCGCCATATTCACATTTAGCCACAGTGTGGCACTGTATGAATGACACAGCCCATGATCAGATTGAGGGGAACCGTGGACAAGATTAATGGTCCTTACTGGCAAAGGGATGTAATTTAGGCAGTTTAGGCAAGTGATTTATAACTTAAATATAATTGATCTAGCCAACTGTGATTAACGAGCAAGCTTTAAACTTGCAAACTTGCATATTTTTCATTGTTCATTATTATTTCAGTATTTTATATATCATTTTAGTATTTGAACCCTTTCATTTGAAAATGCATCACATTCTTAGTCCCTAAAAATGTAATCAAAAGGCATAATGCAAGGAACTGTGGATTTTTGCTTCAAACTGTACAACGTGTGGTGTTAATACTAATGAACATTATAACTACTGTTGATACTAATAAACAATCTTTTAACATTTCAAGCCCACATTAACTTCCTTGCTAAACCTGTGTTCTTCCACCTCCACAATATTGCATTTCACCTCCCACTTCTAAGCCCAAGACACTGAATCTCTAGTCCATGCCTTCGTAACCTCTTTCCTCCACTATTTCAATTCTCTCTTAATTGGTCTTCTAGCTTAAAAATCCCTGACAGATTGCAATGCAACAGTTGTCACCCACACCAAACAATCTTCCCACATCATCCTCATATTCTCATATCCTCATATACAGTAACGGTCTTATTCGCTACAAGGTTCTTTTAATTTCTCAGTGGTCTCAATGGTCTTGAAACAATATTATTTGTAATTCTTTATTTTTTCTGACCACCATTTTTTGATGTGATGTTTCTTGTATAGAAATTCCTTTCCGACTCACATAAAAAAGGTAATGGTGAGATAAATTAATAGTTATATAAAATGCACTGTATATAGTTATATGCAATATATAGTTGCAATTTCAAGAACAACACTGTGAACATTTGTGAAATGTGAAATAGTCAAATTGTGAGATATAAATTCACAATTGAAAGAAATAAAGCTGCAATCAACAAGAAATCACAATAACATTTTATTTATTTATTTATTGACTAACTTACTCACTAACTCTAAGGTGGAATCCAGCTTCCATAGTTTTCTAATGTATTCCAGCTGCATTTGTATTTGTTTGTTTGTTTGTATTATTTGTTTGTGAAGCTAACACGAGCTGTGCAAAAGACATTTATAATAACAATAATAATAATAATTATTATTATTGTTATATCAATAATTATATTATACATTAACATTTCTCTGCATATTATAGGTATGGAATCAGCAGACCTTGCCGGTAACTTAAAAGCCAGCAAATCCAGTAAGGATGGGAAGAAGGTGAATTAATGATACTACAGTCTCCATTGATTCTATTGATACTATACACTCTATTGATTTATTAATTGCTCTAAAAAGTCTTTGGTAATTGCTCTTTATATTGCATCTATCACTTTTGCTAGTTGTCTTCTAAAGAAAAAGCAAGCATATCTAAAGATGGAGGAACACAAAAGTTAGCAACACAAAGCAGCAAAGATTCAGACTCGAGACCGAATCAGGCTAAAGTGATGGAGTGTGAGACTGACGCCATGACAACAGCTGGAGGTTTTGCTATTTCTTTTTCATTTTACAATGATACAGTATATTACTATAACATACAAATAAATATTTGTATATTACATAGAGAAAACAGACTCATGTTTGAATCGGTGATGAAAACATTTTTAAATATTACAGATCTTCCTGAATTCGACCCTGATGACCTACACAAGTTCTCCAAAAAAGTGATAGTTAAAGTTGGCCAGACTGCTTCCTTTAAAATGCCATTACCTCCTCAAGACCCGACAGAGATCAGCTGGTTTAAGGACGGCATTGAGCTTTTTGATGGTGGCAGCATAAAAATAGTAAAGGAACTAAACCAGAGCCGTCTTCAGATAAAAGACTGCCTGCAATCTGACTCTGGGGAAATTAAGATCCAGCTTAAAAACACTTTTGGTACTGCAAAGGCCTTCTCTAGGCTTATTGTGGTCGGTATGTTTCTACTCCACTGTGTAATATATTGAATGTATTCTGAAATAAATATTTATAAACCTTCTGCCTTTTACATGCAGACTCATACATTAACATTAAACTGACACATTAAGTATTTCAAACAACTTTGTACCCCTGCAGACAAGCCAGGTCCACCACAAGGCCCAGTAGAAGTGATTGACAGCTCATCTTCTGTCATTGAACTAAAATGGAAGCCACCAAGTGATACCGGTGGCTCTGAAGTGACCAACTTCCTAGTCGAGCGTCAGCAGGTGGGGCAGAGTATGTGGAAGAAGGTGTGGGATAGTTCAGCCGACCGCCTGTCCTTTCGAGACAGAAACGTGTCCCATGGCAAGAACTACATATACCGAATCTATGCTGAGAACTCTGAGGGTATCAGTGATCCTCTGGAGACAGAAGGCATCATGGCTGGAACTCTGAGTGAGACACTGCATGAGTGCTTATGATTCATGAACATAAATGATGCATGTTATAAATAAAGAAAGAAAATCTTAACCAAATGCTCTGACTGGAAAACATTTTTCCACTTAAGTACGGCATCAAAACTTTCTATGTTGCAGTTTACCCTGGTCAACCTGCCCCTCCTAAGGTGGTCAGCACTTTCAAAAACTGCATCAACCTAACATGGACTCCACCAGAGGAAGATGGAGGAACCAAAATACTGGGCTACCAGCTAGAGAAACGCAAGAAAGATACAAATCAGTGGGTGACTCTGAACCCATCTAAGGAACCTATTTCAGGTACCTGTTTTCACAACATTTACAAAAAAATGCCTACATGTCTGTAAAACTCCAAAAATGTACACTTGCATACAATTCACTGCCGTTTCCAGATTGAATAAGCAACTTATAATGCTTTTCACATGAAGGATCACACA